GGTTCTCCTGCTATATATTTAGAGATTCTTGATAAAATCCAAAGAATAATATAGTGTTATTAGTCCTGACCTGGCATCTTGGCTTCAGTTACTTTCCCACTGTCGTAATGTAGCTTCCTTGTGTCTTTTCTATAAATACTTTCATGGTAATTGTTCTGATGAGCTTTCCTCATTGATACTTCTACTTTAGGAATATAAACACAGTACTAGATTTGCCACTTGGTCTCATCATGAATTAGTTAGATGTAAGCAGATGTAAGTTCTATGTTAACAGTTTCTTCCCTAGCACTTTCTGCTTGCAGAATTCTCTTCCGGCTTATTGCTTTCCAGTCAACTTTGATTTTCAAAAATTTTTATCTTCTGTCTTCTTAATCTATCCTTTTATTGTTCTTTCTCATTAATGTTTACTTTTTTCTCATTCTCTAACATTCAGTAACTTCTTGTGTCTTAGTGGCATTATCACCTTACATGGAATGAAATAAATAAAAAAAATTTAAAAACCAAAAGTAAAAATAGCATCCTGAGCACTGGGTATTTTTCCCTCCATAGTTGCAAGCACAGTACTAGATTGGCAGCTAGGTCTCATTTTACAGTTGAAGTGGCTAGATGTAACTAAGTTCTATGCTAACAGTTTCTTGCACTTCTCACTCTTCCAGTTTTTTGCTTCCCAGGCAACTTTGATTTTCAAAAATTTAAATGCAATTTCAATTGTTATTTCTAGCTTCTTTATTCTTGTCCCTTATTGTTCTCTCCCCTTAGTACTATATTTCCCCCCCCCATACTCTCTAACACTAAGTAATCCCTTGCATCTTAGTGGCTTTATTGCCTTACTTGGAGTGAAATGATTAAAAGAAATAAAGAAACTACCAAAATATTCCACTTTGGAGTATTCTGTCTAACACCTGAATATACAATCTCTGGCACACCAATAAATGACCATATGAGCCTCTCATATTCTACAGTTGGGGGATGGCAAATTAATTACTTCAGGATTGATTGGTAGGTTATTTAAAGTTGAAATATATTTTGGATTATAATTAATATTTTGTTTTTTTGCAAGTGAATTAACAATCTTTTGGTGATAATAATGATTTTCAGATACAACTCTTACTATTTAGCCCATAGCTAGAGGAGAAAAGGTGGACCATACCTTTTCCAAGCGTACTTGCACGTAAATGAATATAACAAACTCGATTGAAGTTCAAACAGTTTTCAGATTTCTCATTCTGATCCATTATCAATTACATCAAGTATTCTGAAGCGGTCACCCATCTAAATACTGACCAGACTTGACATTGCGTAACTTTTGTGATCTGACAAGAACCAGTGTTTCAATGTAAGCCATTAATTGTTTTCGCATCAAATATAAATGTCCTTAATATTTAAGATGATTTAAGATACGTTTTCCCAGTGATACAAATTTTCAGCAAAATCTTTGTTGTAGGTAGGGTATAAAAAAATTTAAATGAAAAATAGAAAAAAAGAAAAATTCAGAAGTAAAATGAAAGATTTTACTTTTTATGAATAAATGATGTATTTAATTTTCTTACATAGATATACAATAACAATACATAGCTAATAATGTGAGACTTCATTCATATTTTTAAGTGCAATATTATAATATGCAGGTATCGCCTGAGAAATGGAACCTTTGGAACCACGCTTAGAAAAAAAATTGGATCTCTGGAAGAATGAGTCATCCTACAAAAGATGGCACATGGCTCTTTTTTAAAATTTATTGTAGGATCCTCACCTGGGTGAGAGCAAAAGCTTCCTAACTCTAAGTAAAATTGCTGCAAATCCGCAAATGTCAGGAAACAGCCTCGTTTTAGTTTTAGTGCAATTGAGAGGTACTGTCTGTGAGACTGATTTCATAGAAATTAGACTAACTTTTCTCTGTCCATAAATGACCAGAGATGACAGTTGAGTAGGATTTCATGAATAATGTTTTTTTTAAAAAAATATGAAAAAAGCAAAATAAAGTAAAGAAAAAAAAGGTAAAAAATAAAATAGGATACTATTTCAATACATCGCAAATATAAAAAAACAAAATTACTGGAAAAGTGTTATAAAAAAAGTACCAGAAATGTAGTCTTACAAAAAAAAATGTTAGAATCTGAAGTGAAATCTATGCCTCCAGGGTTCGGCTACATGAGAAAAAAAAAGCTAAGAAGTTAAAAATTAAATCTTTAAAAGCTGTAAGAGCAACAAAAGAAAAAGAAAAACAAAAATAGAACTCAAATTGTCACTTGTTTGGTTGAATATAGGTAATATACGCACTAGTGATTTCAATCTAATCTTCACGTTTCACAATAACAATTTGAAATAACTTCATGTGTAAAATAAGGGGGTGGGGGAAGTAGTCAAATTTGAGGCATTTTAAGAATGATACTCTTTGGGTCAAGACTCAACAAATATAGACAAGAAAAATGCGCACATATTTGTTTTAGTGACATCCTAAAACAAAAAAGTAACTTACATAAGTAAATTCAAGTGGAGAATAAAAAATACATTGGATAGTAATTGTTTGGGTAGAATGAGCCGCCAAACTTAATTTTTTTAATTAAATGATAAAAATATCCAAATGGAGAATTCGATGAAGAAAGTATTATTTTTCAGTTATTTCATCATAATGACAGAATCTGGTGGATAAAGAGAGACTTAGGGTTTTGAATTATTACAATTAGTGTCGGGGTACTTTATCAGTTATAAAAGAAATATAAATCTCTTTTTTGCCTCAACTGAATATTTTTTTTTTATTTACTACACTGACTTTGTATAATTAATTTCATAAAAGAAATACACGCACACACAGTTTAATTTCAAATAAGTGTACGCCAGACTATAGTAAAAAATTAAATTAAATTCAATAATAACACAAAAAGTGTTTAGTTTTTAAAAGTGAATGACGAAGTGGGAAAATTTTGTGTAAACGTGTTTTTCGTTCTCTAAGACTTAATCGGACTGAAACGCATTACATAGAGTTTTTCCACCTTGTTAATTAAATTTAACAATCATTGTTCTGATATAAAAGTGTAATTCTCTCATAAACTGATAATTCCAAAAGTAAAATAAAAAAGTAGCTACTTTGGAAAGAGTATTTTTTTTATTTAATTCTCTCTCTAAAAATGAATTTCTTTCTATGCACACAAAAATCGTGATAATTTGGGACGTTAAATTACAATATTGCCAGATTCTTAGGTTCATCAATAGTGCTAAAAAATACTGTTATGACTTTTGGAAGCAGTATTTAACAAACAGATCGAGTGAATTCGATTCTACAACTTGTCGTAGCCTGATCTTTTCTTTCTTTTTTTAAAAAGAAAAAAAAGGAGGAATAAAAAAAATTAAAATTGGTTTCTAAAAAGTAAAAAAAAACAACAAAAAAAGATAAACATAAGAATGAGTTGTTTGTAAGAAGGAAGGGTAAGCCAATTATTTTTCTAAGAATTACAACAATGTTACAAATTACAATATTGTTACATTTTTAATCACTAGTTGAGAACTTGAAACGTTTTTTTGCTGAAATTAAATTTATAAATAATTAACCTCAACTGCATTATTCACGAGACTATGTCAGGAAATTCACTATTTATTATTTTATTAGCACTCGTCTGACAGATATTTGAAATCTGAAGTTTTATTGGCATATGGGTCAATAATTCAATCGTCTTTTCTAAATTGAAATGTTTAACTAATATTTATTAATTTTAAGAACTAAAGTTGTACTAACGAAACTGATTTGATGCTCAAAAAGTCAAAATAGACAAAAAAAAAAAAGTTTCTCATTTACATCTCGTCAAGAATTCAACAAATGGGTTTTTTAATTTTATTTTTATTTTATTTCTTAAAAAAAAAAAGACTTGTTAGGTTAACATTAACATTTTCTTTTTTTATATAGTTTATGATGCAAAAAACTGAATGTTTTCAAAATATTTTATTTTTAACTAAAAAAAATCCATTTTCCTGGGGTATAAAAATAAAGAAAATGATTCAGTACTCTTTCTTTACGCACAATGAAAAATGAAAGGATGCTCAATCTTAATGCAAAAAAAAGTCGATTTTGTTTCATTTTCATGTAAGAAAAAAAAAACGTGACAAAAATCACTCAAGTTTTTTTTTTTTTTTACTTTTAATGACACAAAAGTAAAAAAACAAACAAAACACAATTTTAGGTTGGAAAAGGCATTTCATTAAAAACCTGATGATAAACTCAGCTTCTGAAACAATTTATTTAAAAATTAATTGCAAAGTCAAAGTTATAATGAGATATTTTAATGAAAAAAAATCATTATACTTCCAAAATCGGTTTATTTTTTAATGATCTCATATTGTGATTATGCATAGTCATGAAAATGAATAAAAAGTAAAACCAACAACAAAGTTATTAATTGATTGATTGATAACGACCCAATTTGCAAGAGCCTAGTTTTACTTTTTTTACTGCACAACAGTAATTGGAACTTTGATTAACACAGAGAGATTTTTTTCTTACATACTTTCAAAATCAAATCAAATAAAAAACTTTTGAAAAGAAAAGAAATCAGGGGATAATTTTTTTTTTTTTTTACGTTTCTGCTTGATGGAAGAAAAAATCTCTATTTCTTTTTAAAAGAAGTTAAGATGTATTGTAAAATAAGAGTCCAGGTAAATATTTTTCTTAGTTTTGAGAGGGTGCTGAAAAGTTCTCGTCCTGACCAATGAAAATGATATTATAGAGCCACAAAAAATAACATTATTAACAACATTTTCTTCAGATATTTTACACCCCATCAAGTCAACACACTTCTTGTCACATTGTTTCTCAAGATTCCTTAGTTTTTAGAACCCTTAAAAAAATTGTTCATTGTTGAAATACTGATTTTAGGAAGTGGATCGGGCCATTTTCAGCACCACCTTGTAAACAGCAATCATCATTGACTGCACGCATCGGGGCTGGGGTTAAAAACGAAGCTAGAAACAAAGAGAGAGAGGGATCTTATATAAGAAAGTAAACTTACGTTGAATTCGTGGCAGGAACAAAAATCACCTACATTACTTGAATTGTGGATCACAGGAGAAGAATAAACCGTTTTTATGTACTTTGTTTTTTCTTTTCTTCCCGTTTCGTTATAAAATATGGTAAGTCCCTTGCCTTGTGTCTGCGTGAAAAGTTGAACGTAGAATAATACCAATATGCGGGTTTTCTCGACCGGGTACCTCCCCCACCTAGAGTTAGCAGCTACCACCAGCCACAAAGTAACACAAGAAACAATTACGATTACTCTAAATATGTAGGTATGTACAGTTGGGTGGTGGTAGTAGTAGTAATAATAATAATAAATAAAAACAACAAAGTTTAAAGTAGAAAGACTTGTTTGTTCGTAAGTCAACAAGGTAAGCTGGTGGTGGTGATGGTGGTGCCGACAAATAAGAAGAACCTACCTACTTACTTACCTACCTATCTGCCTGATTCTTCTCTCATCATAACAGACTACAGAAGTAAAAAGAAAAAATAGTTGTCTCTCGTCAGAATGCATTCATGCCTCTACACGTGTGTTGCTATTTATAAACAAACTAAACACCAACCAAATGGAGTAAAAAGACAGTTATTGAAGTACAACTAAAACGGGCACTGAGTCTCCTAGATGTATTTGTTTAAACTATTTTGTTATTTATTTACGTACAAAAGAACAAAAAACTTTTATACAGCTTTCTCTTCTTTTCTTTTTTTAAAATCATTTCACCCCACCCCCACCAAGGCGGGAATGCTATTAGTTCGCAGGGAGTTAGAGAGAATGAAAGTTCAAATTTATTTATTTATTTTTTTTGATAATGACAACTAAAACTAAAAGACATGTATGATCTATCCAAATACGTAGAAATTATTAAAAATTATCGTATTTTAAGGCCAGTATATGAATAATCGATTCGGCCGAGTTCGAATTTCACTTGAATCCATTATATGTGCTAATAATACACTTGGGAAAGGTATGAATCCTCTTCTTCTCTCCACCCACCAGATATGGGTAAATAGCAGGACAGACCAGTTTCTGTAGCCTTGGATGGCAACTGGTCTACCGCAGAAAGAAATGGTAACCTACTGCAGGAAAAAATCTGCCTCGTCAGTCATGTATCTTTCGATACATGATCGCCTATGGCACATACATGAGAATGTTTGTCAAAAATGTTCTTAGATAACTAAAGAGACAATAATAGTCTAGATTCTAGAAATTAATAAATATTCAAACGACTTATCTCTTACCTGACTCCAGAGTTTCCTGTAACACCGCTTATCAGGATCAGAGGGTTTGATAAATAAATTTTTTAGACCATCTGATCCTGATGAATGGTTTTAGGTAAAACGCCAGAGTCAATTAAGAAGAGATAAGTTATTAATATTTCTAGACAATTCTGATCTGTAGGTAACCTAATGGTCATCGGCATTGAACATGGAAGTAGCAAGCTGAGATCAAATTCCATGCAAGTCACATTCACTTTTGCATAAATGCCCATTGGAAAGGTAAATTCATCCATTCTTTTTCTCCCCAGCTCAGAGTTAATGAATAGTGGCTCAGAATGCAAAGTCTGGGAGTTGAGTTCAAATTTCAGATTAATCTTTTACATTCACTTTTGCACAAATGCTTTTGGAAAAGGCATGACTCTTTCTCTTACTCTAAGCTATGGGTTAAATAGCTGGGTAGACTGTGGGAAAATGAAATAAAACTAATAAATAAAATAATAATAAAGAATTAAAAAAAAAAAAACATTTGCCCATGTTGGAAGTTATAAAGAAACTGGAAAGAGTTTAGAGTCATATGTGCAATTTTATGACCCTCTCCCACACTTATGGAAAGAACAGTGTTAGGAAAAGATTCCATGTGTAACCATTTGCTGAATAAAAAAATGAGAGAAAGTATTGCTGTGTTTTCAAATAAAATAACAATATTTATTCAACATAAAATACACTAATACTTAACTGTAAATATTATCACAAAATAAAAGTTTGTGTTTAGAAAGTTCTTCTTTCTGACTGAAAAGGAAATGAATGTAGGCTTTCAGTGAGGAAGAGAGAAAGTAAAGTTGGGGGACAATATCAAAAGAAGTCTGCTGTTGCTTTCATGAGAAAGGCAGGATGACGAGGTTGATTCATGTCTCTTTACTGCTGTAGGTCTTTCTGCTGAGTTGAATGGATGTCTGGTTTATATGGCTTTGTTTATTTATTGGTGGGAGCTGATTTTATTGGCTATTCTTTATTTTTTATTAATTTGAAATATGTTTGAAACCAGAAGGCTGCACAAGGCCTTTGCATGGTGTGTTTATTTTTGTCATTTGATCTTTTGATCTGAAACAATTAACTTCCACTTACTCTACAACAGAATCTTTCTTTTTCCACTGAGATCGTTTGGATGTGTTTTCAGCAGTGCTACTCATGAAGTAGAGATTTGGCCATCCCAACTCAGTGCAAGACCGACTCAAGCTGAACCATATTTACCCATTCCTTGCTGCCCATAAATAATTTCTGAACTAAAAACTAAAACAGACATACTTAAGATATATTTAACTTTGTTTCAATACAGTCAACATAAAAGAAATAAATGTCTGTAGCAGAAACTCAAGTTTTTTTGTATGCTTTTTCTATCTTTGTTATTATATTGAACACGCATCTTCACCTAAAAAATATACACAAAACCCACAACCTTGTTAACATCCACAAGACTAAACTCTCTAGTTTGGGATGGCATCCAGTCTAAGAGAAGGGACACCCTGAATTTCAAACATGTTACAGAATTGTTGGGCTGGCTCATTTTGTGAAAAATAGGAAATTGACATTTACTGGAAATAAATTACTATAAAGATGCTGACAGTGATTTCACATGATTTGATTTTGGTTTTAATTGGATACTCTGCAGTACAGATTAAGCTAAATGATACTCCCAATGCACATTATAATAAAAAACATCACAAAACAGGTCATGTTGTATACTACTATATGTCTTTGCTGATTTGGAAATAGCACTAAGCACTTCTTAGTTAAATGTTAAGGATATTTCAGAGTGTCTTGAAAATGTATATATACATTGACAGTAGGCAATATAAGTTTCATAAAAACATATAAGTACATCTTCAAAATTTATATGGAGGGGTCCTCAACTTACGACAGTTCCATTCCTATGTAACACAATTTTCCATGTAAATGTTATTAGTTTTTTTTATGTTATTTTCTATGAATAAACACTTATGTCACCCACCCATGCTAATGCAAAAATAATAATCTAGAATATAAAAACACATTTCTATGACATATGCTGACATAATTAGGACTAGAAAAACACATGGAGGACATAATATAATACATATAATGAAATTGTTTTAAGCTTCTTGTATATTTATTGTCAGTGATGTCATTGTCTCTTTTGCAGTACTCTGAAACAGTAGCAAATCTGGGGAAGAAAGAAAAACAAACATGACTTGGTCTTTCATTTTTTTATCAGGAATTCACCAACTTATAGTTTAACAAGAAAATGACCCTATCTCTTACAGGGAAACTTAATAGGCATCCACATATGTATATGTTTTAAGCAACAGTTGAACAACTTAAATCAAACAACTGGCCAATGTTCTTCCATAATTTCTCCCTTTTTAGGGCATTTAACAATGTTTAATTTCACTTCTATAGTTATAGCTTTCCTTTTGTTCAAAGCATCTCCATCAGAAGAGTTTACACTACACTTGGGAGACATAACAAAGGGTAATAAGTTTCCACAACACAAATGAAAGAGAGTGAGTGTGCAACAATCTAATATGGCATACAACCAGTGGCGGACTTAGTTGAAAATTTGTACTGGGAAAACTTATAAAAGGGCCTAGTCAAAAGGACCCACTTAATCCCAAAATGTACTCAAAGGAATCAAATAAAAATAAAGGTTTTAAATAAATAAAATGTTACATCTATTCAATACTGTTTTATTGCATGCATAATAAAATTACTAGAAAATTTTAATAATTTTATAACAATCTTTGAATCCCACTGGGAAATTTCCTGGTATCCTGGTAGGCCAGATAACCACTCTATACAACCAGGAACTGACCTACACCATGTTCTTAACACTAGCAATGTATGATGACATATTCTTCTGTTGCACAATGTATTCTTCCATTGTGCCATATGTACAAGGCAAATGGCATAAGTAGATAACAGTTGACACTTAAGTTTAAGATTATAGTGGTTGGGATTGATTGATTGTTTTTTACAGTTTACCAAACTCCTGTGGGTTATTTAAAGTTGAAACATTTGGATTGTTAGAATAATTCTTTTTTTTTTTTTGTGAGTGAATACTACATTACACATTTTTGAGAATAACATTGTTTTCTTCAGTTACAAATCCTACAATTTAACCCATAGCTGGTTGGAGGAGATGTATTCATACATTTCCTAGAGAATGTAATAAAACTGACTGGAATTCAAACTCAGTTATTGCTATCCATTACAGCACTCACGTATCTATAGTGGTCAGAGAATCAGCTTCTCAGAAGCTGATTCCCTGACCACTATAGATACTTGATCTGTTCCACTAAGCAGCAGTTGCCCAATTTCATATCCAAAATATAAACAAAGCAATTTCTAAATAAATGAAAGATTTATTTTTAATCCAACCTTTTTATTACTTCAAACATTATTATAGTTGTTACTTCTTTTTAGGGTAAAAAGAGCCTTCATGGCTGAGCAGTCAAACATATCAGATCAAATGGCAGTTTCCCCGACAAAGGGTGATACAGATTTTCAAATATATATATATATATATATATATATATATATATATATATATACGCGCACACACACACACACACACATGTATGTGTATGTGTAGTATATATGTGTGTGTGTATGTCTATACAGCATTATCCAAAAAGAATGAACAGATTTCATTATGTGATATTTTAATAAGGAAAAGCAATAGAAAACTCCAGCCAAGTCACAAGTATTCTATTCATAATTAACTTTTATTTTCCGTCTTACAAGTGTTCAATGTGGCCATCACCAGCAGCATGGGCAACATCAATGCCATAAGAGAATTTCTCCCAGATGCGTATCAGCCTTTCACAATCCACTGAGTTGATCACTGTTGTTATCCACTGTTTAAGGTCATCAAGGTTAGTG